CCAAATGGACACAAACTGCTGATGTTTAAGTTTCTAAATTTATTCTAAAAACACATTTAATTGTCATTGTTCAAGGTTTTTATACATACCAAGTCGATTAGCAGGATTTCTCTTGAAGAGCGCTCTTAATAAACTCTGCACTTCAGGACTGAGGAACTGTGGCATTCCCAGCTTAGCCCTGAACACACAAGCCAAGAAACAGGTTTATGCATGTTTATGTCTGCTGACAGTTTATTTTTATGTTCATTCAGGTATAGTGGATCTCTTGAGGTTAATAATTGCAGATTTATATAAGCAGCTTATCCTATAAAGCAACCCTCAGAAATCAAAGATACAATATAGATAATTGAAATGCAGTTGGACAATGGGAAACAGATAAGAATTTTTAAACATTACATCCTGCAAAAGATGTGAAGGTTCAATAAAATAGCAACAATAATTAGTCTTACTTTAGAATAAGTGCCATTGTTTCTTTCCGATCTTTTCCTTGAAAGGGTAATGATCCCGTCAACATTTCAAACTGGAAAACACAACGAAACAACTGTCAAAACACGTCCGCCCAATAATGGAAGCTGTGGAGGTGGATTATCTCATTAGCATGCTTGCTTCAAATTTTATTAGTCATTTGACTTCCACTGCAAACGGGCCAAATCAGAAACAAAGCTGTTGAAATTAATGCATAATACCATGACCTAAATCACATTTAACTGGAAAAGGCTGAGAGGCATAAAATAAAGATATACACTGGTTAACACTGTAACAAACCTAACCTACTGTGCACCCTGATAATAGACTTTGCCACACCCAATGGTATTCACCCACATTGAAGATTGGATTACAATGTGAAGGAGTTCTCTTTTTTTCAGTAATCTCTTTTACTTTTCAATATCTCTACAGCACATTGAGAAATCTTCGGCTATTTATTTGTTTATTTTAATATCAGTACATTCCTGACACCAGACAAGGGCAGACAGGGTTGACATCTTCCCCTGGTGACCTAATGTAGCTGCCAGCTGTCAGTGAATGTTTAACCTCTCAGTATTAGTAAAGTAAGCCACCAGGCTAGCGAAACAAGCAGCATCCAGCAGATGCACGTTTGCTGAAAATAATGGGACCTAATCTGCCAGATACAGTAATTAAAGTTGTTTTACTGCCAGAGGAAAGCCAAACGAAGAAATCAGTGCACTGGCATATTGTCTAAGAACTGAGTTTGCAGTTAATTCATTATTAGATAAAACATACAAGCCAGCAGAGTGACTGCATGCTCAGAAGGAAAATTAGTCATGCATGTCAGAAGTGTAGAGAGACTATCAAAGTAAAAGACTTACCATAAGCACGCCAAATGACCACCAGTCAGCGCTTTGTGTATGACCTCTCCTGTTTACAACCTCTGGAGCCATGTACTCTATTGTTCCACAGAAGGAATAAGCCCTTTTATCATGGTCAATAGCTTCCTTACTCAAGCCAAAGTCTGGATAGTGAGACAGAGACAAAAGGGGATCATAGTCAAAAGACAAATAGAGACAGAAAAGCAGAGAATTACAGTTTTCAGTCAGATGTACTGACCTGTAATCTTAATATGTCCTTCTTCATCCAGAAGAATGCTTAAGAGGGAGAAGAGAACTTTAAAATCAGCATCGAAATATTTTTTATAAAAAGGCATAAAAGGGATGTTTATGAGCTAGTACTTTTCAGGCTTGAGATCCCTGTAGATGATCCCCAGACTGTGTAAATGGTCCAAGGCCAAAGCCAGCTCTGCAAGGTAAAACTTCACATCCTCTTCTGTGAACATTACCTAGTACAAATGAACAAATGTATTAAATATAATGTGCAAAAACGAAAAGTAAGGGGAAACTGGTCTGTTATTGATTCACATATTTGTTTTTGAGCTCTCTCCTATGAAATTCGCTTTTCACCAGAGCCAACCGAACTATGGCATATTGTCTCAATATGTGTGCCTCCTTTAAAGTACAAAAAAAATGACTGTCTTTGATCTCTTTCACAGGCGAATGATGGGAGTTATACAAACACCTTCCCATAACAAACAGTGAGCAGTGGATTATGATTTGAACCAGGAAGCCTACCTCCTTGGACAGACGAGTAAAAAGGTCTCCTCCTCGGAGGAAATCCAGGATCAGGTAGAGCTTCCCTTCTGTCTGGAAGGCTACACAAATACATAAATACATGCACAAACAGAAATGCAAGTTAAAAACGTCTTGAGGCTTTAATTGCTGTATTGAGGACTATAAAGTATTCTATTATTTTGTGCACAGTCTGCACATTTATCTGCAGTTGTGTATAGATACAAATAAGGGCAGACTACAATGACTTTTCCCTCATTTTTGAACATGTATGCAATGAGAAAAATGACTTGTGAAATGTCACCTTGTCTTTGTGTAACAGATCAAAATGACTAATTAGTCAACTGCCCCGCTGAAGTCCCCCAACAGCACACAGCCCCATTTAAACAGACACTAGCTGTTGATTTAGAACTACAGGGACGAGGAATATAGACCAACGCTAAACAACATTTATTAAACAAATAATGACTTACCCAACACAATTTTTCTATGCTCATTTCTGGTTCCACACCTTTATTCCTTAACTCTATTAAAGTAGCTTTGCATGATTCATAGTTCAACAATATCCTTATTTGCCCTGTACTGGGCTTTACTACTAACCCTTGGTTCATCTACTGTCTGAAATGAGCCAATTCAGCTTTCTTTCCCCTACTTAAACTCAATTTTCCCTTTAAGTGGATGCTATTCGGAAAACAGCACACAACCAAGAAAAGAAAAAAACTCTGAAATAGAGCATTTAGGGCAATCTGAGTTTTTGCCTTATTACTTGTACATATGCTGACCTGATTACTTCAAATCTTAGGCCATGTTTAATGGCCAAACATTCACTATTAACACTATGTATCATTCTACATGTATAAGGCCAATAGATTCCAACACATACATGCTGAAAAAGCACAAGTAATTCATACTCACCATAGTGAAGTTTAACTATAAATGGGTGGTTCACTTCAGCCAGTATATCTCTTTCCATCTTCGATCGCACACGATCCCGAACTGAGTAGGAGATAGAAGGCAGTCTTTTTAATGAAGTTTCAGCCAGTTCATTCTGTAAAATGTCACAAGTCTAATAACACGAGTACGTGTTATGTAGGATAAGAATGCATTTCCTTGAAATTAAGGTAAATTAAATCCAGTGTAGCTGGTTTATAGTGAAATGAAAACCACAATAACAGTGTTATTGCAACATCTGTCTGCTTGACAAGATGACAGTGTAACTCTTTAGATTCCAGAGGTGCAGGTTAAGAGGATTAAGGCTTGTACAAAGTCACTAAATCAGCACATGACATCTGAACCTGCTTTTAAAGTACACCCCTGTTTACAATAATCTCGGCTGACGCAAAACAGTTTATCTGAATCAAAAGTACAAACTAACCTCTTTTACCCAAAATCCCCTTGAATGTAGGGCACTGTGAGAACTTGGGCAATGATATATCTATTGCTCCTCTACTAAACCAATAATAATTTTAACAAATGACCATGACTCAGATCCATTCCTCTGTGGAGCTGTGCTTGTTTTGTTTCTTTCTTTAAATATAGCCAATAACAAGAACATGATACAAAAGGGCTTTGTTTGAAAGAAATTTAAAAAAAAATTATTATTACTATTTGAAATGATGCCAATGGGGCAATATGCCAAGTGTATTTGCACTAAATCACCTTTTAGCGTTGCCTTCTTCAGGACCTTCATGGCATATAGCTGTCCTCTGTCCACTCCTCTTATTTTTCTAACCAGAAACACCTGCAATGATAATTACCATAAACATCACATTTTGTGCAACTGTTCTTTCGTAGTGACGTTTCTGAAACAAAAGAAAAAAAAACTTGTCATTTATATTTCACAACATTTAAAAATGCTATATTCACCCTTTGTAGGTTACCAAGCCGGAGCAAGTTACCATCACGTTACATAAAAGAGCCACATCAATGTGGTTTCGGTGCAACAGAGACAACAGCTACGATTTAAACAAGGTCTGCAATAATTTAGCAGACATATAGCAAGCTATGTAAACATGCTGTCTAAGCCACACTGTGACGTGACCTTTTGTCCATGCCTGCAGCCTTGGAAACGGCAGCCACATGCCAACATCTGCTGATGTTTCATGTAAGGCCCATTCCGATCTCTAATCTACAGTAACATTAACAAATCAGTGAGCCTTTACTAATTTAAATAAACTTGGTGATCTGTGAAACCGTTGTCAAGGCAGCTAATCTACAGATAATTAGAACTAGATGGCTTATCATTAGCAGATGATTGGCTGGTAAAGCATAATCAGCTGCGGCACTGAAATCAGACACGCATATATTCACTGTGCCAAAAGGTAAGTGGACATCTCCTGGCTCATTTGAATCTAGTTTTTTAGAGTTAAGCAGGACCTTAGTTCTAAGTGGACTGAACAATAGTGCACTTCTTTTTTACAGTTGCATTTTAAGAAATGCTCGCCTCTTTTCAATAGCATAAAGCAAGTACAATAAAACCCCCACGATTTCTTGAGTTTGTGTGAAAAGCTTTGACCAATCTGCACAGACCTCTCACTTCAACTGAATCCAACACGTTTGGGAGGACTTGCAGCACTGACTTGCAGCGAGGCAGACCATATTGCACCACATCACTGTCTGACCTTAACGTTCTGGTGTCTGAGCAGGAGCAAATTCCTGCAGTGTGGTTTCAGGCTATCTTGGAAATACTTCCCACAGGACTGGAGGCAATTATAGCAGCATATTAATGCTGATGGTTTCTGGATGAAGTGCTCAACAGTCACACGAATGTGCACTTACTTTTGGGCATCATCAAGTGAGAAGTCCACATATTCTAATAAAACCGAGAGGAATAAAAAATATTAACATGATCATTATACCAAATACATGTAGCCTCAGAGGTGACCTTCTAGACTTTTTAAGGTTATTTATGTTTTTTTATTGTCAACACTGATATTTTCCGTAAGGTCAGTGTCCCATCACTTTTATCAGATTAAAGCCTTAAAGCTGCAGTAAGTAAATGGTTGCATATTGTACCTTTCCATAGGATCCCTGTCCCAGCACTTTAAGCAGTTGGAACTGTGAAGGGTCTGCTTTCTCACAGCCCTCCTTAACATGGTGGCTGATGTCAAACTCCTTAAGTACACTGTCATCCTGATGAAAGAAAAGATAGAAGTCATTATTGGTAGATTAGGGTTAAGGTGAGATTTAAACGAGTTAAGAAATTACACTTTACAACAAATGAGCAATGATTAAATTGTGTCCCTATAACCTCAATGTGCATTTAAAAAGGCCATCAATGTAATAATTACTCATTAAATCCATACCTAAAGATAGATAGTCATCTACAAGCCATTATATTGCCATCAAGATATTGGCTGAGGTCACTGGAAATCATGCACAGTGTAAGCTGCCTTTTTCAGCCTATTCAGTTTGCTTAATGAAGTGAATGACCAACTTTCAACAAGAGGCAAGGCTTAGACTGGATATTGTGACTATGATATACACTGCAACTTCTTTTATACTGTAATTCTGTACAAAACACTATCAGGACTTGGTAAATATGGGTAATGGTTATAAATCGATTCTTCTAGCCTCCACTTGTTTGATGAAACCTGTTAGATAACCTTCATTTTTAGTATATGATAAGATTCTGTCTGTCCTGAAGAATCACTTGGCTGAGGTATTTTCATACCCTTTTATGCATTTAATGCAGCTTGTAATCAGCTACTAACCCATCCTCGTGGAATAGTTTGATACGAGAAAGAAATTCTTCCCTCGATCTGGGAGCCAGAGTGACTGAACGTTCACATGAGGCTGAAAATAATCACATGGTCTCATTTCTCCAGTGACGGCAAGTCTTTTGATGCCATCTCCCTCCTACAGTTCCCCTTAAACCAGAAACGTCCACCAAAGCAAGTCATGAAAATAAATACAGCCTTCAAATGTTATTGTCATTATAGCAAGGATAAAACAGCTGGTTTCTCCAAACTATTTTCCTAACTATCAGGAATTCAGAGGTAATTGCAGTCTGATTTTCCAGATTGATGTACCATCAAGAAAACAACATAGGAAAGGTTCTCATTTTGATAGTACAATAATGACTAATACGAACTATGCCATACCAGTGTAGACAGTGGAAGTCTAAAAACCATACAATTACTGACATAAGTGAATAGCAAGAATATAGATCTATAACCCACAACACACGTACAATAGATTCAAGTAAGATGAAGAGATGAAGATCTCTTCCAGTTTGAAGATGAAAAAATAACATTTTTGCAAATGTGCAAAATAGGTTATATTTAACGGCCATTTTGTAGATTTTACTGTTTAAAACTGAATTGAATTATAAATGGGTGACTGAAATATCAGTTTGTATTATATAGTATTTTGCATGTTGATGCACTTCGATCAAATCAATCCATGAGCTAATTTACACACATAAAAATATAAAGTCCAACTTATTGTAATGAGATTTTTCATCAGTCACTTTGAGGTCATTGAAGGCCTGGCTTCAACTGTAACATGCTGGAAGGTTTCAACTCATACTGAGCAAACTGCTCCCTTCTTTTCTTTAGTTGCTGGTTTATTCCTTAAACAAGGTCGCCTGAGTAATTTCCACCTACTCCTGATGGAGCATCAGAGCATCCCATTCCAGGGACAGGCGACTAGACAGGTAAACAAACTCAAGCAGGCAGGCATTTGCTAAAATAAAACAATCACGTTAACGGGTAGCCTGTAAAGATGATTCATCAGAATCAGAATCAGAATCAGAATCAGAATCAGAATCAGAAAGGGTTTATTGCCAGATGTTGAGCAGGTTTACAACATTAGGAAATTGCTGCGGTGCTTCAGTGCAACATACTGTCATAAAAATATAAAAATAAGAATAAGAATAAGAATTAAAGTGCTAAGTGGATAGATAGATAGATTCATCAGCACTCCTTTACAAAGAAAAGGGAGGGATAAGGTGAGGTTTTGCTCCATTAATATCCAAAACATTCAGGTAGATCTGCAACAAAAGACTCACTGCCTCTCTCTGCCCTGCTGCTTTGTTTGGGCTATAAATAAACCTCCACTGCTGAGGCTGACCGCTGAATCAATCTGTCTGTATCCATTTATCTATCAACCTGCCTGCCTTGTTGCTTGTTTGCCCGTTAGCGTTTCTGTCTGACTATATTTCCATACAACTTCTCTCTCTCTCTCTCTATGTCCGTCACAGCACAGTGACTCCCTTCGTATTCCTCTATTTTCTAGCTTCCCCACGGCCAGGGAAAGCAGCAACAGCTGTAGAACGACGCAGCAGTGACTCCTGAAACACTCCAAAACAAACCAAATAACACACATTCTTTCCACTATCATTCCCATGTGCACACGGACTGTTCACACACACACACGCAGTCCACTGTCTGCTGCACATGTGAGCTGGTGTCTGGGCTGTTACATTCCCACAAACGCACATGGTGCAAATGTGATGCAGCCCCCCTTACAGCAAAACATATTTGCATTTGTGTCCAAATGATCTGCTAAGGCCACTCACCTCCACCTGGCAGAACCCAGCGGTGTTTTTGTTTCTTGCCGCCTTGTTCTTCAGGTAAATAGAAAACCATCTCCTCACCGTGAATTTTCGCGTGCTGGTATCCATGGCAACGAGCAGATTTCTCTCTCTCCCCCCCCCTTTGTGCATCTATCCCATAATGATAATCATGTCCCCTGCCGGGGGTCCTAGGGTAGAAATGGATCTTTTATTGGTTCGTTTATTTGTCTCGCAGCTTCATCACTGGTCCATCCTCAATGCGGTCCTCGCTCTTTAGGTTTCCCATCATTCGCATGCGCCTCTCGTCCCTCCGGTGGCTTCTCAGACGGTCCCGTGTCCCTTAGCTGCAGTGGACACCGGCGAGCACGCAGACAGAGTTGTGACAGAGGCTTAAAGCTATGCAGGCAGACAGCGGGATGATGAACGGGACCTGTGCTGCTGGGTTTGGGGTTGCCTTGTGTTTTGCATCAGGCTCTCTGCGTGAGGCTGCAGGGAGAGGTGACGAATAAATCTGTTCCGCTGAATCAGGAGGTGCGTGTGTGTGTGAGCTCCCTCTTCACATCTCTGCCCGTGCATGTGTTTATTCATCCCCTGCTCCCTACCTCCCTCTCTCTCTCTGCAGACCAAGGGATTGTCACCAGTCACATTGTGTGCCACCCCTCCCTCTCTTATTCTCGCCCCTGCTCCTGGCCCTCACCTCCCTCTTCGTTTCTCCCAACAGCATACAGCAACAGCTGGTGAGGTCACATGGTTGTAACCCAGCTACCTCTCCGTCTCCCTCTTCTCCTGTCCCTTCTTTTTTTGTGTGTGGCATCCAATTCCACACACACAGGCAATGAAACAAATGACAAAATAACATGGGCTACAGTGTAGGCTGCATACCAGTAGATGGGAAAAGAGTGGCTAAGATCCAGTCACATCACATCAGAGTAACAGTGTTCAATAAAATCCCGAGGGCAGCAGTAATCAATGTTGGGATCAATAATGATGACAGCAACAAGGACAACAATCACAATCAAGTACAGAGGGATCTGGTTGATCAGTGGGTGTGGGTGTCTGTGTGTGTAGGTACTTGGATCTGTCACATCAGCAGCTTTGCAGAACTGCAGTGTTACATAACAAGAGAGAGAGCAAAGGGGAGGGAGATGGAAATACAGACCACACTGAGAGGGAGGTAGGGAGGTAAGGGGTAAATGAGGACTGCGTTCTACCTAGGTCAAGTGTCCATGGCTGACCAAGGCTTAATTTCTTCTTCTTTCTTTCTTTTTTTATTACATTTAAAATTCATCCAGGGCAGTTCACCTGAAACGCCCAAACTGTGATCTCTAAACCTGGAAATGACTAAAAATGTGGGGTTTTGGCATCGTTTCATGTTAGATCATATTTGGATGTAACTGGCACAGAATGTTAGGTCACTTTACCGCTAATGAAAATGTAATCAGATGTGTTTCGTCATGCTGCTGTGCGGTGTTGTGGGAGGAGATTCAGGATTATGGATTGGTGTCTTTGTCCGTTTGGGATTAAGGATCTATAAGTAGATCACCACATTAATATTTATACACACCGATATAGACAGACAATACTACGATGCTATACTACACTACATGTCAGGATGCATGTTAAAACCATCCCATGTTTTGTGGCATGTAAAAAATTTTAAAGCAAATAATACATCATATCAAAATGACATTTTACATAATGATTATAGCAGACACTGAACAGATATTGAAGGCTTTATTGTGAGAGAAAAAAATGATACACATGCTTAGTTCAGAAATTTCACACTACAGCATTGATCTACTGTAGATACAATAAAATCCATTAGATTTAAAATAATTCATCTATGAACAAAAAGCCACAGTCCAACAGCATGAATAGAAACAAGTCTGTGTGCAGATCGGTGAGGTGTTAAATAACCTTTTCCAAAACAAGTGCTAAACCCTATTCAGGCCATAGGTCAGCAAAAACTGATGTGCTGTGAACTTGTGTAACATCTTCTGTAATGTACTGTGCTGACACTCACATCTCTTAATGAATATTGAAATAAATGAAAGATTTACAGCATACTACCTTATATTTATGGAAACAGACCTAAAAAGGAAACATCAAACACACATACTTGGCAGTTATAAAGTGTTTCAGAAGTGGCACTGTGGACTTACAAAGATGGTCCTCAAAACATGCATATCATCTATATCTATTTCACTGTGTGTGTGTATGATATAGATATATATAGATATAGATATATCTCTATAGATATAGATATATCTCTATAGATATAGATATAGATATATCTCTATATCTATAGATATAGATATATCTCTATATCTATAGATATAGAGATATCTCTATATCTATAGATATAGAGATATCTCTATATCTATAGATATAGA